CACATAGATTAATATACATATTTTAATTAAAAACATATAAAATTACCTTATTACCCTCATCCTCACCCTCACCCTCCCAATCCCTCTTCTACCCCTTCTTTTTTTCTCTTTCTTTCTTTCGGGTTCAGTGGAAACCCAGCCTTGCTGGGTTCGTCGACCAGCCAAGGTTGGGTTCATCGGAACCCAGCAGATCTGGGTTTCGACGAACCCAGCCTTGTTGGGTTCGCGACCAGCCAAGGCTGGGTTCGCCGGAACCCAGCCAAGGCTAGGTTCGGTTGAAACCCAGCCTTCAACCGAACCCAGCTTTGCTGGGTTTCAACCGAACCCAGCTATGCTGGGAAAGCTTGGTTCTTGTTTTTTCGTTCTTCTTTTGATTTCCATTTCCAGTTGTTAATATATTTGGAGATTGATTTATAATTTGATTGCATTTTTGTTGGAATTTAATTAAAGTTTGATTGTATTTTTGTTGAAATTTGATTAGAGTTTGATTGGTATTGTTTATTGAAGGGTTATTTTGATTTGGTAAGATCTGCCAGGTTTGAGGTTTCAATGAAACCCAATAGCTCAAGTTTCCTCGAGAAAAGAGAAGAAGAAGAAATGGGTGGGTTAAGATCGGTTTTGTAGATGGAGTAGAGATGAGAGAGCATTCACGGAAGAAGAAAAAATGGGTTAAGATCGATTTTGCAGATGGAGTGGATATGAGAGAGCATTCAAAGAATAAGAAGAAATGGGTTAAGATCGATTTTGCAGATGGTGAAAATGAGAGACCAATTTGCAAGCAACTAGAATCCATTGGAGGGGTTTTGCGTGAAGAAGATGAAGATGATATGTCATAAAAAAAAAAGTCCAGATAAGCATCTTTTTAAGTTGTGCTCGCCATGTAATAAAATAAAAAAATAAAAAATGCCATGTGGCTGAGTTAACGGTCCAAATTGACAGAAGGATTAACGGAGTCCATTTTGTAGAGTTGAGGGATCAAAAAAGTGCAAAAAATTGTTGAGGGACCAAAAATGTGCAACTCACTAAAGTTGAAGGACCAAATTTAACATTTAACCAATTTTAAACAAAATTAGGAGTATGTTTGGTTTACACAGAGGAAATGAGAGCCAATTTTTTAAAGTTATTAAAGATATTAGAGAGGATGAAAGACAATTATTTTATTTGATTGTTAAAAAAATTAGACGAGAGGGGAGATAAGTTTTTTACTTTATTTTTTCCTTTTAATTTCTTCAATTCTTTTAATTTTATCCAAATAACTCCTTCCACTTTTCTCTTATTTATTTTCAAATAAAATATACTTTAATACTATGTTTGGGTTGAAGGGAATGAAAAAAAAAGAAAGAAGAGGAGGAAAAAAATTTTTATTTGATTATAAAAAAAATTGAAGGGGAAATTTTTTTACTTTTTTTGCTTTTAATTTAGTTAATTATCTGAATAGAAGAAAATTAAAAAACATAATTCTCCTCCCTTCCTTTTTTTTCTTCCTCCTATTCACTTCAACCTAAATATAGGGTAAGAAATAAATGAAGAATATATTTTTTTAAAAGAAATATATATTTCTTAATTCTCTTTTTTTTTTTGGAACAATTTTGCAAGGGATGGATTCAAACGATTGCTTAAAAGAGGGAGATGCACTTAAAGGTGATTTGAAGTTATTGGA